TAATGTATGTACTTACTTGATATTGAAAATCCAATTTGCCCTTGCCACGTGGGTTACTTCTAACGCATTAAATGCGTCCTTCTCAAAACCGTATCTTAGAAGACGGTGAACGACGATAAATTATCAAAGCGATCGCTTTAAAATGTTTACAGAAATTTAATATTATATATGTTTATTTTTCTAAGGTATGTAGCGAAGGGATAACGTTTAAAATATTTTTGGGAATATCACGGTAACAGTCTATATATTTTCTCATGATTAATGGTCTATTTTATTCTAAAAACTAGCTTCTATTTAAATTGCCATCACTTGTATTATTAGATATAAAAAGGTATTTTTAAAAAATTAACAAAGACACGTCTGTCATGAGCTACCTTTATCTTTTGTCTGGCCATGCAAACTGTTACCGGTTCGTACTATCGAGGGAGCTATACTCAGCTGACATGAGCTGCTGCGCTAAGCCTCAGAAATACTTTGCGTAATTTTTGGTACCCGTTGGGATATAAAACACGGCGAATCTTCAGTTCCTCGCTAACAGGCCCATTCTCATTGTTCCCGGCAAACCAGATTTTTTTGCATTTTTTAACACCCGAAATTGAATTTGGTATTCTGGCGAACTGAATACAATGATTGAAAAAACTTTGGCAGCACTGCTTGTTTGTCCTTGTCAAATGACATTTTCCATTTGGTAAAGTAAAAAAGAAGAATATTCACATCGAATCGGAAGACGGTTTTTTATTTTTTGCTTATTAAATCATACGTGTATATGTTTGAAACTAATTTTGGAAAATATAGCACAGTTCTATCGTTTTAACTTGAGGCGAAAGGGCAACCGTTCCCGATGTTGAAACGATTCAATAGGCGATGACCATGGATACAGTTGGATGATAAAATTGATCGTGTAAATTTCTACTATTTGGGACAAATGTCATGAATTTAGTTTTGCAAAGCAATGAAGCAGTTTTTCAACAGACCCGAATTCTCATCCTAAATTTTCAATAATCATGATAACAAGCTGAAATGTGTACATTATACATAAATATGTTCGCCATGAATTCCCTTCAAATGAAAGCTGCAATATAAACAAAAAAATTAATATATATACACGCAAACATATATATATATAAATATATATAAATGTATTTCATTATACCACCTATCGGACACCCCGTAACGTTGCCAGATAACGCTCATACTGATTTTAACAAAACAGATTCATACATACATACATATATACATATATACTTTATATATGTATGTATATAAAATAGCTTATTTCGTACATCTCTCTCGTTCTAGCGCATTTCACCGCTGACGTACCGCACAGCTCTTATTCCGCGCGCTTAGTCCACTCACCAACACATATGTAAATATATATGTATATATTTATACATTTTGTACTTCTGCCACCCTTTTCTTGCTTGTACGTAATAATGTAATAAAAGCACCAGCGACAACCCGAACAAGAACAAAAGTGCTAGAACAAAAATTTACACAACAGCAACCAACTCATCAACTTCATTGCCATGCACACAGATACACACATACACGCAAGCAAATAAATGGAAAATTCTCTCCTTTCTTTCGCGCATACTCAGCAAGTTTTTGCTTTTTTTTTTTTTGCTTACTTTACGTGCTACCACAATCAACCCCTCTCCAAACGGCCGAGCAGACAGTCAATTATATACTCGTTCTCATGCTGAGAAAACATTTTACTCTGTTGCCAATTTTCTTTGACTTTTTGTGTGCGCTTATGCATGAGTTTGTGTGTATGGCTATGGTTTTGCTGTGGCTGCGGCTGCGACTGTCGTTGCTGCTACGCTCGCTGTCGCTGTCCGCGTTGCTCTATTGTGCTGCTTTAACGTTCGGTTTGTGTATGTGCGCTGTTGCCACATTTCCAGTTTCCGTTAATTGTATACGAAACGAATCAGAGATACACAAACGAATGGTACGCGTATGCATATACATTTCTACCTACTTGTCTGTACGTGCATGCGTACATACATACGTATGTATTTAAGTATATTTATTTGTAGTTTTGTGTGGATGTGCACAGGCATAGCGCTCATGGCATGGCAAACATGGCTTCGTTATGAAATGAATATACACCAAAGCGCATACATACATATGTACATACAAGCCAATTTAGTTGAATTAAAGTATGTTTGGCTTAATACAAATGTACATACATGCATACATACATATACATATGTATATATAAAATTGTTTGCATCGACAGTCCAACTATCTACAAAACAACCGAACGAGTAAACGAACGACCGAATGTACGACCGAGCGACCACAATAAAATACATGGAATTTTCAACATTTGGTTATGTTTTCTTCTCGCTGCTCGCATTCAACGCATGTGTGTTTGTATCTATGCATGGATGGAAATCTGCTTATACGTATTGAAGTAGTCACATATATGCTTACCTACAAATCTACGTACATATGTAGGTATGTGTGAATTTATGTTTTGTAGCTGTTCGGTGGATGCTACATACAAATTAGAGTAAGAAGTTGATGGTCGGTCGATTGTTGGCTGGAAAATTATCTACATACATACATACATATGTACATACATATGTTCATATCACCATATTAACACATTTTACTTATAAATTGTTTACTTATAAGCATAGTCGATCCAAATATAAATACATATACACGTTCATACATACATATGAATATGTATTTACATACATACACGTATGCACGTATATTCATATATATGTTGCGCTTATGGGCAATAATGGACACTTGAGTTGCTGCCAGTTTCTCTACAGCTCCGTCAGGGGCCATAGAAACGGATAGAAAATAAAGAATAGAACATCAACAACAATAAAATAGTATTCTTTCCTGGTATCTTCTTGGCTTGCTTTGTTTCTTGTATATTTTAAGGTATGGTATCACATTTTCTTCGGTGGAATGGAAGACACTGCACTACAATGTATTAAATTGTGTATATATACATATGTACATATATGTATATGTGTGTATGTACATTCATATGTACAAATTTGTATGTATACATGTGGAGTTTAACCAAGCTCGAATTTCTCAATTCTGCGACACTGAGCACTAAGCATATGCTTTACTAAGTACTAATACCATGCTGGGATCTAAGATGACTTGAGTCGGAAAACAATGGACTAACCTCAGTCTTACTTTTGTACATACATATGTATATATGCAGTATGTACATATGTACAATATGTGTAATGCGGGCAACGGGCTCGAGCTGGCTCGAGAGACCCGCATGACCCTGGCACATTTTAGGACTGGATACTGTAGCAGGTTAAACTCCTACCTATTCAGACTCGACCCCAACACACCCAACGTTTGCCCTGCATGTGGAGAGTCTCTGTACGACACTAACCACCTCTTCAAATGCCCCTTAAGACGACACACTTAACCCCCTCCTCCCTCTCGTCAAGTTCCGTCGAAACTGCACGTTTCCTGGACCCCGTTAGATGACCTCGGCGTCTTAGATTAACAAATCTGTCATTAGGCGAGGTAAACGTAGCCGAGAAATGTGAGTCTCGGATGGGACCACCGCGACGCATGTACATATGTATATATGTATGTAAGTTTGCTTTACGGTGAAAAGCTCTTCAAATCCATGCATTCATTTTTGCATGATGCGCTTTCAAATATACAGTTAGACAAAGAAAAATTCTATAAAATCTTAAATGTCTACATCCATGTACCTTCCCTTAACCCTCAACTGCTCTTTGGATAGAAAACTTGAAGACGGATAAGTGTTTTTGTAGCAGTCTTGCTTACTTTATTTTTTTTAACTACATTTTTTAGGGGGATTGTATAAGAAAACATTCAACAACATTGGATAAGCTTTCTTATAAATAAACTATAGGTCGCTCCATTGCTGAAAATAATATCAGGGCACTTAACATTAGCTGGGCCGAAATATAAAACCTATCCTTGTTAAAACGAGCAAAATTTCTCTTCGTGTGTTTCCTTGAGCACCTTAAATGACGAGATGGTGCCCTCAATTCCACCACTTACGTCGTGTGCGCCAATTATAGTGGGATAAGCTTTGTTAATATCGCATATAAAGCCCTTTCGAGGGTATGTTGTGAAAAGCCAAAGACCACCGTCAACCATTGGCCAGATATTCACAAAAAAAAATCTGTACGTAGATGCGTATGTACATATGTATTTATGTATATTAGAATTCCTTTTTTCAGCAATTTGATATTTGAACATTAAATTTTATTCTCTTATCGCTGTCTTCTTTCCAAGGTCACTGCTAGTAAATACACATGTGTTTGTGTGTATATGTACATATATATTTTAAATTATTTCAGAATTACTTCAGCCCAACATAATTCTTTGTCACGATGTTAAATAAATTTCATAGAGGTTCTCTCCAAAATTCTCTTTTTTCCCCTTTTTGGAAATTTTCTGCTTGACAGGCTTAAAATGTTTGAACTCGTCCAGAAGTCGAGGCGCGATCGTGTCAGATTGCGCGCTATAAAAAATTAATTCTGACCGCGTAGTTGCTTTAAATTTTTTTATTTGGCGGCCAAGCACGGATTTTTTAAAACTTGAAAACATTATTATCACGGTAATTGAAATAACTTTTGGCTTCGAAAAGCAAACAAAACTCGTCTAACGCACTTACTGTGTGCTTAAGTACATACGAATTTATGTAAATATGTTTACCGTGTAAATACAAATAATAGATATGCTGTTTTATGAACAAATAAAACTACATATACGAGTATACATACACAATTATGTATTGTATTTCAAAAGTATGTAGTAAGTTTGTTAATAGTACTAAGGTTAAATGTGGGTAGCTTTGCAAGTGGATTAAACTCGAACTTTAAATGCATAATAATCGCAAATGAATATCAGTCTATATTATATTTATTGATATACGTTTACATGCCTGCTACATACATATATGCATTTGTTCCTATTTTGAACCCAATCAATTCTAACAAATTCTTTTCTTCTTCTTTCTTTTGCAGTAAATGTGTGTGTGTCAGTGCTTGAATAAAATAAGGTTAAACCGAAATCCATAAAATTCCCATTCCATTTGAAAAGTATATACCGATTTGGCGAATTCAGTTGTTCTCCGATGCGCATAGGGTGGAGCCCGCTCCTCTTGAAACAAGTTGCATCCATGAAGTTCTATAAACAAAATGGTACGTGAACAGACCCGAAAAATTTGTTTTGGTCAAATACCCGAAGGGAGATTACGAGAGGATACAAAACATCGAGAGCACCTTAAACGGTAAGAATTTTTTAAGCCTAAATCTTTCAACAAAAATATAATAAAGCCTACGTAGCCCCTGCAAAGCGCAGAAAGGTACAATTCATAATTGAAAAGGTACTCAAAATATCCTCGATGTCAGGCTCCCAAAGAGGTGCTTGTTAAAGTACAGGTTATTTTATGATCGGGATTGCTCTCTTTGAGCGCCATGCCATTGACAGTTATGACGAATTTATTAAAGGGAATTTTTTAAATTTTGATTACTTGGAAGCAATCGATCTTTGTGTTATAAGTGTCTTCGGTTTAAGACGCAAACTGAAACACATATCGAAAATATGGTAACGTTGCTGTGGGAATTTACCATTTTTTGGGGGAGAATATAAGGCATGCTCAGCTAGCGACATACATAGGTATGTATATGTATATCACACTGCCTGGCATGATCAGACAAATCTGCTTAGCCATGCTTGTCAGTCTGATAGTAGATAACTCCACTATACACGTAGATTGAGATGTGTTGATGAAACTTGGTGCACACATTCGTCGAATCTCAAGTATAGACACTATTGCAAATGGGTCCAATCGGCATACGCTAAACCACGCGCTCAAAAACGATAATTATAAAAACTACGAGAGTCGCGATAGTTCAGTAACTAAATGAGCCATTGAAGCTATATTCGTAACTAACGGTCGCATGAAAAAGTAAAATATCATTAGGAAAAATTTCGGGTAGGCGTGTAGCCTATTTTGTTTCAAAAAGTGTTACTCAAGCATTAATCTGTCAGAATTCAGCTAAACTTGGTAGGCATGGTACTTTCAATGGGTAATAAAGTCCTGCCAAAAGTGGTTGAAATATATCTGAAAATTATTGATCGACCTCTGTATTTAGGTTTGATTTTTTTTAAGAATTTAAAAATTACAGTTAACGTTAACAAAATCCACTACCAATTTTGTGGAAGTCAGAAAGGAGGCCTGGCATCTAATATACACAAATATCAGTCGGACATTTACTATTTGGTTCCCCTCTTCCAGAAAAGTAGAATACTGAAAATGGTAAAATTCGATAGGTAAAGTTTTCATATTTGATTTTTTGCAACGTAGCGATTCGGAGTAACTTTCTCTCTTTCTGAAATGAAGTTTGAAATAGCTGGTGATAGCTACCAACATTATAAACCCAATTGCGATCATATACAGTGTGATCCAAAGAAAAAAAACGGAAATAAGGAAATCCTCGGCCTCGAAAAATTCCTACCGTAGGGCATCGGAGGGCATCATCGTTAAGCTCTTTTGTGCGTCTACTTTGTTACCCGTTCGAAAGCTCTATGCCCAATTTAAATGTACATAAATGAATGGCTCATATTTTCAACCCGTCGGTTTTCATAACATATGTAGCTATTCCATGCTCGAAACGACCAAAATGACAAATTGAAGTATTTCCCAAGATAATTTTCAAACTCGGATTGAATACACGCTTGGATGTATTGCAATTCGACAAGAAATTGCTGTCTGCTTTTATTATAAATAAAATGAAAACAGTTAGAAACGTTCTCTAAAACCAACGAATTATTAAAACAGTATTCCGTCTGCTTACTTCTATATTCGAATATGTGGACAGACATGAAATCGATTTAAATTTTGGTGGGTCAATTTCTTGCCCTTCAGATATTCTTATACAACTTTCAATGATTATCAAAGCCATACTCTCGGTAAGGTTTACTATAAGGTTTCGGAAAACATCAATTTTTCCCGTTTAAAGGGTTGAAAAGATTTTAAATTTTCCAATTTTATTTTTTTTTATTTAAAAACGTAAGATTTATTTTTAAGAAATGAGTATAGCAGGGCTCTCAAGTCGACTGTATAAAGAGAAGTGTCTAGTGAACTCAGTAGATGACATAACGCAACGAAAGATCATTTATATATGTATGTAGTCGTAAATTTTTACATTTCGAAAATTTTGCCATGGGTTTATATAGTAAAATAACAAATAATTTCGACTTGGTAATTTATACAACTATAACAAGGAGCTCCTCACAAGCGCGGTAACTTTTTAACGCTTTTATTCAAATTTCAGAGCTCACTTCGTCCGACTGCAGGACGGAGTTTTTGAGCTCAACAAAAGCGTCTTTTCCGTTATAAAAATTTTCAAGCGTAAAAAAGTGCTTGTATGTACATGTGTAAATACATACATATACATAGATATGTATGCGAAACACATTACAAAACTTCGATAAAATCCTTTTACTGTTTGGTATCTCATTTCGCAGCTCTCCTGCAGCCTTCGTCGCATTAAAATTGTATCGTCGCATTTGGATAGTAAAATTTTCTATTTACATACACATATACATATGTATGTGTATGGTTGGCATCTTGAGAATATTACTACAAAGTAATGAAACATAATGAGCCCATCTCATTTTCGAATAGGCAAAGTGGCACCAAAAGTAATTTCTTATCAAAAACAGTACCAAACAGGCAGGCAGGCAGGCAGCCGTGGCAGGCAGGCAATCCATTCATTCATTCATTGAAATAAATTCCTTACGCCAATTTCACCCCATTCAGTCTGTAGTTTTCATCAACATCAACACAGAGGAGGAAAAAAGCGGCAATAAAGCAGCAGCAACAACAACAACAACAACAACAAAACATCTGCTTTGGCTCTAAGCAAAAACAAAAAGGCAGTGAACAAACAGGCAGAAAGCAGTAAGCAGAGTCGAGAATTCATAGCAGCTGATGAGGCATATTAAGGGAAATGTGAGTTGGGAAACACAAATGTCCATATGCATATGTATATACCTAATAAATATATGTATGTACATATGTATGTATGTATGTATTCAAACTTTTACATCTGCATATATAAAGTACACAAATACACGTTACACATTCATGGAACCTCATCTAAATACATATGTACATAGTAATTATGCTTATATTATGTACTCTCGTATATACGAGTACATACATACATATGTACATACAAATGTTTCTATGTTTGTCAACACAGGCGTCCAAGTTGTTGAAAGTTCACAACGACAGGATTCTTCAATACAAAGCACAAGCGGTGTTGTTAGAAGTTGGACTTCCTGTATATACAATACATACATAAGTACATACATATGTACATGCATATTTACATGCATACAAATAACAAAGGCACTCTTGTGTATTTCGCCTGCGCAGACAAACCGCAGAGCGCTACAATCTATGTATGTACGTGTATGTATGTAGCTCCATGAAAAGCAGCTTACTAGCTGGCCGGGCTGAGCTGGTGGCCGCTCGGGCTGAGCTGGTGGCCGCTCGGGCTGCGAATTTCTTCTTTATAGCGAGTTTTGTTTCAATTTTCTAGTTCATATTCTCTTCGCTTATAGCGCGAGCCTCCTTCGTTTCCTCTGACCTTTTTCAGTTTTCCATGCGGCTGGAATTGTTTTGCCACATGTACAGATGAATATGTGTATGTACATATATGTATGTATGTTGATGTCCATGTCTGGGTACGTCACATGAATAACGAGAATAACTCCTAGTTGAGGAGTAAAAATGCAACTCAACTGCCTGCGACGCCACAACGCCACAACGCCACGAACTCTGCAACTATCGACTCTCAACCACTATAGTGCGTTGTTGTTGCGGCTTACTCCGGTTTTGTAGTCGTTGTAGTCGGGCGGTCTTTTCGCTTTGGTGACCATACATACAGTCACATTTGCAACTGTTCCCAAGTAAAGCAACGAAGCGATGCATCAACCTACCAAGCATTCAGCCCTGCCGTCATGCAGTCAAGAAATAAAAACAAACAGCAAATTAAAATAACAACTACAAATACCAAACACATAGAGCATGCCACGGGAATGGGGTCGCGGTGCGGTATAGGGTAGGTAAATGTCGTCAAATGTTGTTGGAGTCGGCATCATCGCTATCAGAATAGGCGAGGAGTTCGTTACTCAGCCACTCAGCCACTCAGCCAGTCAGCCAGTCAGCCAGCCAGCTATGTATTTATGTATGCACTTGCATGTATGTATTTATAATATGTAGCACTACGGACGAATGCCTGTTGTGCCAAAGTACGATTCGGGTATACACGTATGTACATTCATATATATGTATGTATGTTTGTTTATGGCTTGTGTGATTTCGAGATATACGGACTGTTGATGGTGGTGGTGCTGTTGGTGGTGCGCATCCACAATAATGCGCTGCTGAGTGAAAAGTGGCAACGTCGCAATAGCCAACAATGTTGTTTTGTATAGTAAGACCATTTGCGATTTGCTGCTATGACTGTTTTTGTTCGTACCCAGTAACGAGTAGAGAGTTGCTCTGCTAGTAGTTGCTTAGTTGGTTTTCTGCCTGCTCGGTCGGTGTATCTGTGAGATACACACAAAAAAGCAAATACAATTTGCTCGGCCGTTCGTTCGTTCGTTTTCAGCATTTCAGGTTATTTCTACACGTCATGCCTGAGTTGTCTGCCTGTCTGTGTTGCCCGACACCGAACGGGCGAACGGGCGAACGAGCAAACGAGCGAATGTCTGCCTACAGCGCTCTATGAGGCCATTCGTCCGACCGTTTGAACGTCGCTATGTTTACCTTTTTTGTCGGCTCTATACGTGTAGCTATAGCTCTATAGCTTTATAGCTCTATATCTGTTGTAGCGCTGCGTGCAAGTGTGTAAGTATGTGCTGTTAATGTACGTTTGTATGTATGTGTATGCGTCTTTTTGCTCTGTCACTTCATTGTTTTTCTCGAGTTTCGTGCTATTTCGCAGATACTATTTATTTTTTCGTTTCTGCTTTAGCCTCTGTACATAATTCACGGTAATTGCTTGTTGTTGTTGCTGTTAGCTATGTCGTCGTTGCTGCGCCGTCGCTGGCGTTGTTGTCATTCTCTGCTGTTATTTCCATTTTAATCATGCGCCAGTTCGACGAGTATCTGACGGATACACGTTGGGTAAACAATTTTTTTCGAATTAACATTTTTTTTTCTTTACTTTGCCTTGCCTTACCGGCTCGACTCGTTGCGTACAGCTCCCG